CCCCCCATCTCCCCCATCTCGCCCCATGCTTCCCTCCCCCCCTTTTTTTTTTTTAACAGATGAGAGAACTGAGGCCCAGAGACATTAAGTGATTTGCATAAGCTCCCATAGGTAACACATGTCCTAAACCTTCTGATTCTAAATCTTTGCATTGAACGGTGGTGCCTGGAGGAGGCTTTTCCTAAGATATATGGAAAAGAGAACTTCCGAGGAATCTGCATCAGTTTTTCCTTATGCTCCCAGATTTCTTGTTCTCTTCCTTCAGAGAGAGGCCCTTATGACACATCTCACTTCTTTTCATTAGGGTTCCTTGAGCCAGTTTTTCCTGGAGCAGCTGCCTCTTTTGGTCTTCTGGCTAAACCTTGGGTTTCAGTTTTCCTTGCATAATGGAAAGCCTGTCCAATGAGGGCCCAGTCCTGAGAGCATTCTGCAAATTTGCCCTTCCCGGTGGGTTATATGCAGCATCCCCTGCCTGGTTCCAGCTCTAAATATGGAGGCATGGTGAGCCCCTTTATGGCCATGAATGACTGGACTATGGATAGGGTTGGTGCTATATGATGAAGAGGAATTTTCTGGTTGGCTGAAGAGCCAAAACTGAATTTGAATACAAAAGAATCTATACACTTCTTCATTGGACTTCTTGTGATTTTTTTTTCTTCCTTGAATTTATAGAAGTAAGAACTGGTGTGAGCCACTGGGTAGCAGGAAGACCAGCTGACACTGTCCTCCCCACCCCCAGCTGCCATGTGTCCCTAAGTAGATGGTGATTGAGTTTTGTGTGTATCTATTCTTTCCCGATCTTAGGTGAATGAGTATCCCAGCAATGGAATTGACCAGGTTATGACACTGTTAGTTTTGAAAGGTTGGGGGAGCCATCACAGGTCCCCTTGGCAACCAGAATTGATAGCAGAGACCACAGGCAGCAGCTGTCGGGTCCAGTGAGGAGTCGGTTCAGTTGGCCAAGTGACCTGCTTGACTGAGCCTGGCAGTCTGATTGACCTGTCAGCCGAAACACTAATCCTAAAAAGTCATTGCAGCTGAGCAAGGGGAGTAACTAGTCCTTGCCAATGCTTTGCCCCAAAGAGAACTTGGAGGGGACTCCACAAAGGGAGAAAAAGACTTCCATGGCCAGGAATGTTGAGGCAACTCCATGTGTTCCGCTCATCTATGCTCCAAGCTATTTCAAACTTGAACCCATTCTTACCTGGGACCTTATTTATGCAAGAGGAGAATACTCAGACAGTTTGGAAAAAGTTTTTGTAACGTCTGTCCTTGCTATACCATCCCAATAAATATCCCTTTCAAAAATCTAATCGATCGCAACTGATTTATATAGGGGTGGGGGAGACAACACACCACCTGGGGCATTTAAGCAAAAGTATTAGAAATGAATCCTGAGGAAGGTATCGTTTAGGGACTTACTGACCGATGCAAGTGTGAGCTGGGGAAACATCCCAGAAAGAGTGTTACACTAATTTATTTGTAAATAAAAACTTTTATTCAAATCATTAAGACAAACATGCATTTTCCCCCCAACACCCCTGCCTACCTCTCCTGAAAATCTATAATGTTTAGAACCCCGTAAGCATGGGGTGGTTGGAGGAACATGAGAGGAAGATGAGATTAGGAGTTAGAAGACTTATTTTCATATATCATCTCTGCTCCTTACTCTATCTTGGACAAATCCCTTTGATTGATTAGGCCTTAGCTTCTCCATTTGTAAAATGAAGGGATTGGGCTAGATAATCTCAAAGGTCATTGCCCACTTCTGGCCTTATGCTCCATTTGGTTGAGAGGTTTTTCATTTGCTGTGTGCCAGTCCTGGCAGAACTGGGGTGGGCCGGGGAGAGGGAGGATGTCCTACAGCTACTCTTCTGGCTGAAATCAGACACGCAGGTAGATAGCTGCCATTGCAGAGAACTGTGAGTTGGTCCTCCGCATATGTCACTAGAAAGGCAGACTGTAGCATCAGACAAGGCGTGTCGCCTCTCAAGAACTGGATTGGGCATTGGTCCAAGCCACACACAGGGTTTTGCCCTGACCATCCAAATGGAACATTATAGAAAGAAGGGTCACATGGCTGCATTCTTTCCCTCCTCTCCCCTCCTCTCCCCTCCCCTCCCTTCTTTCTCCCATTCTTGCCACCACATCCCCCACTGAACACAGATGGGGCAGATGGTAGGGGGGAGGGGGTCTGGGGGCCTGCCTGGAGCAGAGAGAGTATGAAATAACACCGAACAATTTATGCATTGCACAATTCCCTTTCTCATTTTTCTTCCCCTCCTGAGAAAGTTCTAATCTACACTTTATTTAAGCTAAAGAAATACTCCGCATGTCTAGACAAAAATGGCCCCGCTCATTCCATTAATATTTCTTAAGTGCCTACTAAATGCAAGGCATTTTGCTAAATAAGAATAATAATATTTCTGTAGCACTTTACATATATTATCTCACAACTCTGTGAGGTGGGTGCTATTATTATCTCCATTTTACAGTTGAGGAAATAAGTTCTAAAAGGTTGTTACTTTCCCATAGTCACAAAGCTAGTGGGTAGAAGAGACAGAATTGGAGCCCAGTTCTTCCTAACTCCAGGTCTAAGACTGTTCACTACAACACGACACTGGCTATGGAGAATGGGAGAGAGAATGAGAGAAATTTGGAAGTAAAGTCAATAAGGAGAGTTTGCCCTCTCCCCTCCCTGTCTCATAAAGCCTTGTTTCCATCCCCAGGCTTGTTTGTTTGTTTTGGGGTGTGTGGTGTGTGGTGTGTGGTGTGTGTGTGTGTGTGTGTGTGTGTGTGTGTGTGTGTGTGTGTGTACAGCAGGGCCTCCTTCCTCTTCTCATCTTTTTCTATTTTAGCTTCCTTTCCTCTGGATCAGTTCCCTCATTCCTCCACCTCCACCTTTGTCTCTCCCAGAAACCTGTGAATTCCAAAGAACCTCCAGCCTCAGGCAGCTGCCAGGAGTGAGAGCAACAGACAGAGCCTGTGCCATCCTGCATAAGTCTGTGTGTGCCTCCCCCAACTCTCTGTGTGCGTGTGTGCATCATCTGTAAGAGCTCCCCTCTCACCCCCCTCCCCTCCACCTCCCTTTCCTTTTCTTTTCATGAGATGCAGAGCTAGGAGAGAAGCGGGAGCAGAATGTCGCTGCAGTTCTAATCTAGAGGCTCTTGTGGTCAGGCTGGCTGCCCCTCGGCTTTCCAATGTATCAAGAGGCAGCAGACTCTGTCATTCAGGGCCTCATTGAGCCATGCCCAGACGGAGCCCGTCCCAGCTGTGTTTCTTCTGCCGTTCTGACCACCGCCAGACAGGTAAGGAAGGCATGGCAGCTAGCATCACAGGGAGTCAGCCCCTCCGATCCAGCCGAGGCTTGGAGAGGGCAGGGCTGCAGGACCCTCCCCCCATGCCCCTCCCCCCCCAAGTCCTCAGCATCTCCAACCACCCCTTCGGCAGCTGACCCCCAGCACTGAGCCTGGCTAGGAACAGCAAGCCGGTTCAAGGGTGGGAAGGCTCTGCTGGTTTGGCCTCTGCTGGAACCTTCATCAATCTCATTAAGCTGCTTCTGTCAAGAGTCAGAGGGCTGTGCCCACTCTTCTTAATTAGCAGACTCTAAGCTGCACATTGTCTCATCTTTACCTTCTTCTCTGCATCAAGTGAAACTCTCCAGATTCCCAGATGCCAGGTTTCTGTTCTTAGGATCTCTCTCTCTCTCTGTCTGTCTCTCTCTCTGTCTCTGTCTCTGTCTCTGTCTCTGTCTCTCTCCCTCCCTCTCTTCCCCCCCCCCCATTGGTGCTGATCCCTTCACACTGCTACAATAATAAATTCAGGCAGCTATCTTGAGGTATGACATCTTCACTCTGTTTTTAGTTTCTTTCATTCATTCATTCATTCATTCATTTTGTTGTTGTTGTTTTAGCTGGGTCATATGCAAATTGGATTCGCTTTGTTTTTAGTTGGGTTGCAGGTCAGGTGATAAATGCTGCACCCCCACCCCCTGAGGGCTCAAATTTACAAAGGGTGAGAGTGAGATAAAAATATGCAGGAGATGGCAGGTTCTAAGCACTATGCTTGGCACTGGCTGAATGGGTCCTTCCCAGGGTTTTTCTTCTAGGGCTGCCTGATGTGTGACTTTCTTTAGAAGCAGCTCACTCTCCTTGCTGTATAATTTGACACAATCCATTTCATCAGGCACTCTGTAATAACCCCCTTTTTGTGGTCCTGGCCTCTGGGAGCTTGCAGTCAAATGAAACAGCATGGAAAGCTCAGGCCATCCTCCCTTTGGGTTATTTTTGGCTAGTTTGTTCTTGTAGCCTTGAAAAACTTCAAGGTTTCCTTGGAGTGTACAGGAGGCTCTGGAAAGTGGAGGAGGAAGAAAGCTGTTATTATGAGATAATAAGTGCTTTTAAAAAGTTGCAAGGGTTTTTTAAAAAGCAAAGTGGCATTATTATTGTTTTTATTATTGTTGTTATCGTGATTATTTCTGGGGCTATAGCTTCACAATCAATGAAGCAGGTATTTAATGAATGCCTGCTGTGTGCTCAGTTGGCTTTCTGGGAGAAGTCTGGGCTGGGAAACAGTGCAGAGATACGTATTTTTGTGTTTGGCTTTTCACAATGTAGCCAGATTGAGACAGGCTGGAAGCTGTGCTACTCCGTTTGGGACAGGCCCTGGACTGTGAGATTCTCTTGGCATCCCTCTGACATTGCATATCATTCAGGATACAAATAATACCTAATAATTCTTCATTAAGTCCAGCTATCCTTGTTTTCTCAGCCCAGTTGAATAAAACATGTTGTGAATGAGATTTGTTTCCTTATGAGCCAGTCAACTCTAAACAGAGGAAAACTATTCCTGACCATCCACATGGAATGGATTGCTTCCATAACCCTGTGCAGCAGCAGCCTTATAAATGTGAGACAACCCCAGTGGTCACAAGGTCTGGGTGGGGTGAGAGGCTGTGGATGGCTTAACGTGGTCCATTTCTTCTCTGACATTTTAATAGATTTGCCATTTTGTTGATGAGATATACCACTTCTCCCCATAACTTTGCAGATCACAACCTAATTCTTTTCCACCCTGTATAATTTTTGTCCATTTCTTTGGTAAAAAGGGGTTGACCCAATGTGATAGAGACTTTTCCCTGGTTCTCTTGACATTTTCATGAGTGGAATATATAGGTTTTTCATTAGTTATCTCTTGTTCCCATTATGGTCCACTTTTATCCCACCAGTCATACATCTGTCTTATGATACCCTTTCTGCCACTTCTATTGAGTAATTCTTCATTGGCTATGTTGTAGACTGCTCATGCCCAACATGTGCCTTTTCATTGCTTGTTGAGTGAATGTTCGACTTTAATTACTCAGAGATAGTTGTCTTCTATGACTTGCAGACATACAGAATGAATATTATTTTTAAAAAGATGGGCCTTTGTTTGAGGGAAAAGATTGAAATCATTAAAAGCCCTGTACTATATCCCAAAGCCAATAACCTGCTTTCTTCCTCCCATTCAACTTTGGGCTCAGCTCATTGGCCATTTGCAGTTCCTGTCCCAGATTTGTACAGGATGAACGAACAGTTTTATGGATTGTCTGTCTAATTGTATAGCATACTCTGGGCAATAGAGTTCTTCATCCACTTAGTTTTTTATGTGTAGATGGTTAGATCAAACTTTTGAGCCCATCACTATTTCCTGAAACAATAACAATAACAACTTGGAATTTGTCTTATTGCTGATGAATTGAAGTTGTATACAAAAGTCAGCACATTTCATTTTTTCTAATTTTGTTGTCTCTTTTTGTTTTCTTTTTACTTAACCACTTAAAGCCTGACCACTTGCTCCTGATGTGCTTAATTTAGACAAATTCCTTGGATTCCTCTGTATCGAGCTCCCCATTTCTAAGAGTAATTTCTTGGCGTCCCTCCTTGGCATCAGAATTTACAAAATGTCTATAAAATATTTTGAGCCCCTTAGGAAAGGGGCCCAGAATGATCAGTGTATCTGAGAAGCTGTAGCACTTTTTACAAATAGAATTCAGTGGGAACTTTTAGCCTTAAGTCTACAGGGGAAAGGGAGGACAACAGGTCTGTATCAGGCAGAATTTTTTTAACCTCTTCCTTCAATAGAGTGCACCCATATAATCCCTCCTCCTGTCCCCAGTGCAGACATAAGGGCATACTCAGCAAACACAGAGTTTCTCAGCCCATGTCTTGGTTCCAGAGGGGACCTGTAAAAAGAGGAAGTTCTGGGGCAGCTAGGTGGCACAGTGGATAGAGCACCGGCCCTGAAGTCAGGAGGACCCGAGTTCAAATCCGGCCTCAGACACATAATACTCACTAGCTGTGTGACCCTGGGCAAGTCACTTAACTCCATTGCCTCACCAAAAAAAAAAAAGAAAAGAAAAAAAAAGAAAAAAGAGGAAGTTCTAATTGGAGGGCTGTCTCCACCATCTCATCTCCAACTCTGCTCCTGCTGTTATACCCAGCCCCTCTAGGTCTGGCGGTTACGAATTTTTCTTTTTGTGTAATTCAAGAAGGCTGGTTGCAGTGGGGCAGAGTGGAAATGAAGGAGATGGGGAGGGGGAGTGGGGAAAGGAAGCATGCAAGTTTCCTGCCGGCAATCATTTATTAAAAAAAGGATTAGAATGAGCTTAACTTGCCAGTGGGAGGTTGATAGAGGTGGGGGTAAGGTGGAGTTACTGGGTCTTATGCTGGGTCTGCTAACTGCAGGCAGCTGTGGACCTCAGCAGTCAATGGCAAAGCATTTATTACTGCTTAAGGAGGGGAAGAGATACAAATCTGGTGCCCTGGCATTGAACAGTGGGAGCAGAAATTACCTCACTTTTACATCTTTGCCCTAGGCTTTTACCACTGGATCCTGTGGCCTAAGTTTCTGGCAGCATCTCACCCCCACTCCTACAAACCCAAGGCTTTCTGCCATTTTCAACATCACTACAGCACCTACCTCCTCAGCAATATTGCCCTTCTGCTCCTCACCCCCCCTTCCTTCTGCTCTCCAGGGAATTATGGAGGACACAGTAATCTTATTCATTTAACCTCTAGCTACTTAGGCCCTTTTCTTTTCCTTTTGCTCAGCAAGAGCTCACCTGGACATTGGGGAGTTATTTTTAGCTATTTTTCAAAAATTAAAATGAGTGCTTAAGGTGGGACTCACACTGAGGAATAGATAGGTACTGGCCAGGCATGTATGGTGGGACGGGGGTAGGTGATCATCGGTGAGCCTTCACTAAGTGCTTACGGTCCCTAGCACAGTAACACCTGGCCGGGTGCTGGGCATTCAAAAAAACAAATGAAGAATTCCTTGCCTTCAAGTAGCCCGTATCGGAATGAAGGAGACAGCACGTATACACATACAAAAGAAATACCAGGTATTTTTTGGAAGGAGAGTTTGGGGGGCGGCACCGACAGCTGGAATTGGGGGGAGGGGAGAAGGGATTAAAAAAAAGTGTCATGTAGGAAGTCACAACTGAGCTCATCTTTGAAAAGTGCTGGGGTGGGGAGCTGGCTGGTAGAGGTGAGAGGGAATATCATCTATGAAGAATGCTCTGTGAAGGGCGTAATAATCTTGAAAATTTGTCATAATCCTGAAAATGGAGGTCAGAGCCATCATGGAAAGATCATTAAAAGCCAAACATGAGTTTATAGCCAATCCTAAAGGCAATAAAAAGGTCACCTGAAGCTCCTTGAGCCAGGGAGTGACGTGATCAGAATCAGACTTTAGGAAAATTGGCAACTGAGTGAGAGATGGTTTGCAGACTGAGGAGACTTGAAGTAGGGGAACCTAAAGGAGGCTTTTGTCAGTAGTCCAGATGAGAGGGCAGTTAGGTGGCACAGTGGATAGAGAGCCAATCCTGGAGTCAGGAGGTCTTGAGTGCAAATCCAGCCTCAGATACTTACTAGCTGTATGACCCAGGGCAAGTCACTTAACCCTGTTTACCTCAGTTTCCTCATGTGTAAAATGAGCTGGAGAAGGAAATGGCAAACCACTCCAGTATCTCTGCCAAGAAAAACTCAAATGGGGTCATGAAGAGTCAGATATGACTGAAACCACTGAATAACAATATTTATCTATCTATCTATCTATCTATCTATCTATCTATCTATCTATCTATCTATCTATCTACATGTTGTCTCCTCCATTCTACTATGAGCTACTTGTGAAGAGGACCTAGGATGAAGTGGATGGAGAAAAGGGAATGGTTTGTGAATGATATTGTAGATATTTGCCAACTGATTGGATACACAAGGTGGGGAAGAGTGATGAGTTGAGTATGATTCCTAGGTTGAGGATC